GCACTCCCATGTTTATTGCAGCACTGTTCACAATAGCCAAGATATGGAAGCAACCTAAGTGTCCATCGGTAGATAAATGGATGAAGAAAATATGGTATTTATACACAGTGGAGTACTATTCAGCCATAAAAAAGAATGCATTCCTGTCATTTGTAACAACATAAATAGAAGTGGAGGTCATTCTGTTAAGTGAAATAAGCAAGACACAGAAAGATAAACATAGCATGTTCTCACTTATTTGTAGCATCTAACAAATCAAAACAACTGATCTCATGGACATGGAGAATAGAAAAATGGTTTCCAGAGGCTGGGAAGTGCCACGAGACATTGAGGGCAGGTGGGGATGGTTACCAAAAACTAGTTAGAATGAATAAGACCTATTATTTGATAGTACAATATGGTGACTGTAGTCAATAATAATTTTGTTGTACATTTTAAAACAAGTTTGTCCAACCCATGGCCCATGGGTCTCATGTAGCCCAGGACAGCTTTGAATGCAACCCAACACAAATTAATAAACTTCCTGAGAAATTAGGAGTTTTTTTGTGATTTTTTTTTCAGGCCATCAGCTATCATTAGTATCAGCGTATTTCATGTGTGGCCCAAGACAATTCTTCTTCCAATGTGGCCCAGGGAAGCCAAAAAATTGGACACCCCTTTTTTAAATAACTAAAAGAGTAAAATTGGATTGTTTGTAACATAAAGGATAAATGCTTATGGGGAAAGAGGCCACATTTTTCACGATGCAGTTATTATGTACTGCATATCTATATCAAAACATCTCATGTGCCCCATAAATATACACACCTATTATGTATGCACAAAAATTAAAAATTAAAAACAAACAAAAACAAAATACATAAGGAACTCAAACAACTCAAAAACAAGGAAAAAAAAAAAGAATTTAAAGGTGGACCTGAATAGACATTTTTCAAAAGACATACAAATGGCCAACAGATATATTTTAAAAGGCTCAAGCTTCCTAATCACTAGGGAAATAAAAATTAAAACCACAATGAGACATCATCTCACACCTGTCAGAAGGGTATAATCAAAAAGATGAAAGATAACAAGTGTTGGCAAGAATGTGAAGAAAGGGGTTTATTTGTACACTATTGGGAAAGTACATTAGTATATCCATTATGGAAAATGTGATGAAAGTTCCTCAACAAACTAAAAATAGAATACTACCATATGATCCAGCAATTCCACTTCTAGGTATTTACCCAAAAGGTTTCAAATCAGTTTGTCAAAGAGATACCTGCTCCCCCATGTTCATTGCAGCACTATTTACAATAGCCAAGATATGGAATCAACCTGAGTCCATCAACAGATGAATGGATAAATAAAGTGTGGTATATATACACAATGGAATATTATTCAGACTTTAAAAAGAAAGAAATTCTGTCATTTGCGACAATGTAGATGGAACTGGAAAACAATATGCTAAGTAAAATAAGCCACGCACAGAAAGACAAACGCTGCATGTCCTAACATATGTGGAACCTAAAACAGTCAAGTTCATAGAAGCAGATAATAGAATCGTGGATACAGAGACCAGAAGTTGGAAGGAATGGGAAGATGATGGTCAAAGAGTACAAAATCTCAATTAGACAGAAAGGGTTTTTAAAAATATTTATTGCACAGCATGGTGATTGTAGTTAACAATAGTGTGCTGTACATTTCAACATTGCTAAGACAGTAAACTTCACATTTTCTCACTACAAAAAATAAGTATTTGAGGCCGGGCATGGTGGCTCACACCTGTAATCCCAACACTTTGGGACACTGAAGAGGGTGGATGGCTTGAGCCCAGGAGTTCAAGATCAGCCTGGGCAACATGGTGAAATCCTGTCTCTTAAAAAAAATACAAAAAATTGGCCAATTGTGGTGGCATGCACCTGTAGTCCCAGCTACCTGGGAGGCTAAAGTGGGAAAACCACCTGAGGCTGGGAGGTCAAGGCTGCAGTGAACTGTGACTGCACCCCTGCACCCCAGCCTGGGTGATAGAGTGAGACCCTGTCTCAAAAACTAAAAAAAGTATTTGATGTGGTGGATATGTTAATTAGCTTGATTTAATTATCCCACATTGTATTCATAAATTCATTTTGTACTCCACAAATACATACAATTATAAATTGTCAACTTAGAATAAAAATGAAATAAATATATATACATCAGGAACTTGAAAGATAATCTATAAAATAAGAAGAAATTAAAAATTGAGGCCAAAGTATTAGAATATAGAGAAATAAAACTACATACACATAATTCAATTTAAAAGAAGGCAAAAATAAAGAAGTCTGAGCTATAAATAAATCAGTTCTTGAAAATAAATTATTTCATTTTCCCTACTTTATTTCAATAAAAATTGAAGTAACAAATTGAAAAATAAAAGGAAAGAAGTCTACTGCAAATACATTTGAAAGCTAAAAGTGTTAAATAAATGACCAATAAAACAGTCATTTTTAAAAAGGAAAACATGGGACATGGGAAAAACTATAAAATCTAAAAAGATTAATGGAAAAACATATTTATATTACCATATTCTAGGTGGGAAGACTCAAGATTTAAATATGGAAAATATTTTAAACATTGTGAAAGTAACAATACTAGGTGAAAATACAGAAGAATGCTTCTCTAAGAACATCTTTTTAAGGAAGATATGAAACACAGAAGCTATAAGGAAGAGAATGGACAGGTTTTCTGCATTTCTGGTGGCAAAAGACAGACCATAAACACTACGTAAAGTCCAAATTAAGAAAAACAGATTTCCACCTTGAGCCAGAAAGTGGGCAGAAAAACGTGGCAATTAAGAGCAACATTTCTCAAGTTAGTCTGAGTTTGCTTCGTGCTTTGCCACTCACCGGCTAGCAAGTTACTTAACTCCATATCTCAGACTTCCTATCTCTAACATGGGATCACCATATGAGCTCATGGGGCCGTGGAGGATTAAATGAGTGACTACATACATAGCACATGGAACACTGGCTCTTTGTGAGTACTTAATACATAGTAGCTCTTATTAATGTATAAAGAACTTCTACTAATTAGAAAATAATAGATATCCCAGTACAGATGGTCGAAATACATGAACTGCCAGCTCACAGAAGAAACAGAAAATCTACCTTTTATGTATATATAGTAGCCTCACCATCACAGAAGTTCAAACTAAATTGAGGTATTATTTTCTTCTCAAATAAGCCAAAAAATTTTAAAGTAACAACATCTGGTGTTAGTGGGCATATAGGTAAATAAACTATCTCATATACATTCTTTATTTTTCTTTTTTTAGTATAAAATAGAGATGGGGTCTTACTATGTTGCCCAGGCCTATCTTAAACTCCTGGGTTCAAGTGATCCTCCCTCTTCCACCTCCCAAAGTACTGAGATTGCAGGTATGAGCCACTGTACCTGGCCTCATATATATTCCTGATGAGGGTATAGTTACCATCTTTTAAATGACACGTTATCAGTTTCTATTACAATTTATCCTTTAACATTGAAGTTTCATTTATAAAAATTTATCATTCAAGTGTGTGTGTGTGTGTGTACACAAAAGTGTTTCTTACAACAGTGATACAATAGCAACCAAAGCTAAAGCAACTTAATATCCATTAATAGGATTCTTAACCATAAAGCCTTTAAAAAAAGTATAGCTATCTTTATACCTACTAATTTTAAGTGAATAAAGCAAGTTGCACAACAGTATGTGTACATTTTAAACATACATGCTTACATTAGCATAGGGAAAAGTCTGGAAGGATCTATATCAAATTGTTGACAATAGTTACCCTTTGAGAAGTGATGTGGAGGTAGGAGGGGAAGGGAAAATTCAGAGCGACATTTGCTTTTTTCTTTTATGCATTTCTGTAATGTGCAAGTATTTTTTTTTCAAATAATCATGGTTTATTTTTGTAATTGAAAATAATGCAAACCTGGGACGAAGAAGCTATAATAAGATAAGCTTTTAAAAGCAAACAATGAAAAGTAGTAAAAATAAGAATAAAACTATATAAAGTAAAAATATCCACCATACAAACAAAAAGGAAAAAAAAAAAGAAGTGAAAACTGCAATAGGGTTTTGGTTGTAGGAAATCCCTTCCCATGGTGAGGTATTGAGACTTTCTGGGCAGGATAAGGCTACATCTGAAAAATGATGGCAAAGCCAGTGCCTCAGATGGAAGAGTCCAGTCCATGGCTACTGTGATGATTCTGAAGAACAAGAACCTTGGTCTAGGTCCCACTGAGACCTCATCCCGTTCTAGAATTCTTTGGACCTGAATGATGACCTTATAGAGAGCAAAATACCAGGAATTCAGAAGCAGGCTATGTGAGCACTCAAAAGAAGGGAATTAGGGAGCATGGGCAATCCCAAACTCTGAAGTCAATTTTTCAAGAAAACAGGGAATGCTACTTTACATCAGCCTGAGATGCCATTAAGGGTAGTGCTACAGTTTGGATATTTAACTCTCTAAACCTTATGTTGAAATTGGATCCTCAGTGTTGGAGCTGGGGACTAGTAGGAGGCGTTTGGGTCATAGGGATGATCCCGCATGAACGGCAAGGTGCTGTCTTTGTAGTAATGAGTGAGTTCTTACTCGATTAGTTCCCAGGAGAGCTGGTCATTATAAAGAGCCTGGCATCTCCCCTGACCTCTCTTTGCCTTCCTCCCTCACCGTGTGATCTCTGTACAGGCCAGCTCCCCTTCCCCTTCTCCATGATGGAAACAGCCTCAGGCCCTCACCAGAAGCAGATGCTGGTGCCCTGTTTCTTGTACAGCCTGCATAACTGCGAGCCAAATAAACCTCTTTTCTTTATAAATTACCCAGCCTCAGGTATTCCTTTATAGCAACACAAACGGACTAAGATAAGTATAGATGGCATCAGGGTGGGTACCTGTGGCTCTGTCCTTCACACTGACCGTTCAGGACCCCAGCAGAACTCACTCTGTTCACCCTAGACATCCCTGGGCAATCCCACAGGGCCCAGAGCCTCACCGAAAGTGTTGAATTCTCCACACCATGTGAGGTCATCAGCAAGGTAGCCTAGCAGCGTGTCCTCCAGGGTGAACATATCCTGCTGGACCTGTGTGAACTGATGGGCCAGATCTTTTATTCTGCTCCAAAGAAGAGTCTAAGGAAGAATAAATACAATCTATTACTGAGATCAACTTAGCATGACAAAACAAAATAAATCCATGGTTTTGTAAATGAAAAAAGAACAGAGTATATCAAAGTGAATCACCCATAGTATGAATAAGAATTGTCGTATGCATCAATGATTTGTGAGTGCAGGAGAGTGTAGGGGAGAGAGAGAGTGTGTGGGTGTGTGTATGTGTGTGTGTGCATGTGTTCTAGGTCATAATGTAAATGTTTATTTTTATTCTAGGTTGCAGTAAAAAAACTCTGAAAGTCACTGATCAAAATCTTATAATCAACATGGGATCACATCTGGAGGTGGCATTAGAGAGTTACAATATTCCTCAGCTTATCTCCAAAAAAAACTTTGTCTACATGCTGTTTTCAGGAAGATGTGCTCTTTGATTCTTAAAGAACTATATAACCCCTTCCAAATTCCCTAAATATTCCCTACCCCTACCAAAAAAAAAAAACACAATAGATTTTTTGTATTTAAGGGTTCCTCTTAAAGGTACAGAGAGTCAAAGTTCAGAATTATATTCTGTTTTATGAATCTATTTTTTTATTCTTATTTTTATAAGTTCCAGGGTACACATGCAGGAGGTACAGGTTTGTTACATAGGTAAATATGTGCCATGGGTTTGCTGCACCTATTAACCCATCACCTAGGTATTAAGCCCAGTATACATTAGTTATTTTTCCTAATGTTCTCACTCCCCTCACCCCAACCCCAACAAGCTGCAGTGTGTGTTTTTCCCCTCCCGGTGTCCATGTGTTCTCATTGTTCAGCTCCCACTTATAAGTGAGAACATGTGGTGCTTGCATGTTCCTGTGTTAGTTTGCTGAAGATATGGCTTCTGGCTCCATCCATGTCCCTACAAAGGACATGATTTTATTCCTTTTTATGGCTGCATAATATTCCATGGTGTATACGTACCACATTTTCTTTATCCAGCCTATCACTGATGGGCATTTGGGTTGATTCCATGTCTTTGCTATTGTGAATGGCATTGCAATGAACATATGCATGCATGTATCTTTATAATAGAATGATTTCTATTCCTTTGGGTATATACCCAGTAATGGGATTACTGGGTCAAATGGTATTTCTGGTTCTAGATCTTTGAGGAATTGCCACACTGTCTTCCACAATAGTTGAACTAATTTACATTCCCATCAACAATGTAAAAGCATTTCTATCTCTCCACAATCTCACCAGCATCTGTTGTTTCTTGACTTTTCAATAATGCCATTCTGACTGGCATGATATCATGGTTTTGATTTGCATTTCTCTAATGACCAGTGATATTAAACTTTTTTTCATATATTGTTGGCCACATGAATGTCTTCTTTTGAGTCTGTTCATGTCCTTTGCCTGCTTTTTGATGGTGCTGTTTATTTTTTTCTTGTAAATTTGTTTAAGTTCTTTGTAAATTCTGGATGTTAGACTTTTGTCAGATGGATAGATTGCAAAACTCTTCTCCCATTCTGTAGGTTTTCTTTTCACTCTGATGATAGTTTATTTTGCTGTGCAGAAGCACTTTAGTTTAATTAGATCCCATTTGTCAATTTTTGCTTTTGTTACAATTGCATTCGGCAATTTCATAATGAAATCCTTGCCTGTGCCTGTGTCCTGAATAGTATTGCGTAGATTTTCTTCTAAGGTTTTATAGTTTTGGGTTGTACATTTAAGTCTCTAATTCATCTTAATTTTTTTATGAGTTGCAAGGAAGGGGTCCAGTCTCAATTGTCTGCATATGGCTAAATAGTTCTCAAGCACCAGTTATTAAATAGGGAATACTTTCCCCATTGCTTGCCTTCATCAGGTTTGTCAAAGATCAGCCAGCTGTATATGTGCAGTTTTATTTCTGAGATCTCTACTCTGTTCTATTGGTCTATGTGTTTATTTTCGTACCAGTACCATGCTATTTTGGCGTCTGTAGCCTTGTAGTACAGTTTGACGTTGGGTAGTATGATGCCTCCAGCTTTATTCTTTTTGCTTAGGATCGTCTTGGCTATATGAGCTTTTTTTGGTTCCATATAAATTTTAAAATAGTTTCTTCTAATTCTGTGAAGAATGTCAATCGTAGTTTAAAGGGAATAGCATTGAATCTATAAATTACTTTGGGCAGTATGGCCATTTTCACAATATTGATGCTTCCTATCCATGAGGATGGAATGTTTTTCCATTTGTTTGTGTCCTCTCGGATTTCCTTGAGCAGTAGATTGCAGTTGTCCACGAAGACGTCCTTCACTTCCCTTGTTAGCTGTATTCCTAGGTATTTTATTCCCTTTGTGAATGGGAGTTCATTCATGATTTGGCTCTCTGCCTGTGTGTTGGTGGATAGGAATGCTTGTGATTTTTGCACATTGGTTTTGTATCCTGAGACTTTGCTGAAGTTGCTTATCAGCTTAAGAAGCTTTGGGGCTGAAAACCGGCACCAGACAAGGATGCCCTCTCTCACCACTCCTATTCAACATAGTATTGGATGTTCTGACTGGGGCAATCAGGCAAGAGAAAGAAATAAAGTCTATTCAAATAGGAAGAAAGGAAATAAAATTGTCTTTGTTTGTAGATGACATGTTTTCTAGTTATAGGATCATGAGTTTGCCAGTATTTTATTGAGAATTTTTACATTGATGTTCTTCGGGATATTGACCTGAAATTTTCTTTTCCTGTTTTATCTCTGCCAGGTTTTGGTATCAGGATGATGCTAGTCTCATAAAACGAGTTAGGGAGGGGTCCTGCCTTTTCAATTTTTTGGAATAGTTTCAGAAGAAAGGGTATTAGCTCCTCTTTGTAACTCTGGTAGAATTCAGGTGTAAATCTGTCTGGTCCTGAGCTTTTTTTTTTTTCTGGTTGGTATTTATTACTGCCTCAACTGTAGAATTTGTTATTGGCCTATTTAGGGACTCAACTTCTTCCTGGTTCAGTCTTGGGAGGGTGTATGTATCCAGAAATCTATTCATTTCTTCTAGATTTTCTAGTTTATTTGCATAGAGGTATTTATAGTATTATCTGATGGTTGTTCGTATTTCTGTGGGATCAGTGGTGATATCTTCTTTATCATTTTATTGTATCCATCTGATTCTTCTCTATTTTCTTTTTTATTAGTCTAGCTAGTCATCTATCCATTTTATTAATTTTTTTTTCAAAAAACCACCTCCTGCATTCATTTATTTTTTGAAGGGATTCTTGTGTCTCTATCTCCTTCAGTTCTGCGCTGAGCTTGGTTATTTCTTGTCTTCTGCTAGCTCTGTGATTTGTTTTCTCTTGGTTCTCTAGTTCTTTTAGTTGCGATGTTAGGATGTCGATTTGATATCTTCCTAGCTTTCTGATGTGGGCATTTAGTGCTATAAATTTCTCTCTTAACACTGCTTTTATTGCATCCCAGAGATTCTGATACATGGTCTTTTTCCTATTAATTTCAAAGAACTTGTTAATTTCTGGCTTAATTTTATTATTTACCCAGGAGTCATTCAGGAGCAGGTTGTTCAATTTCCATGTAATTGGTTTTCAGTGAGTTTCTTAATCTTGAGTTCTAATTTGATTGTGCTGTGGTCTGTGAGACTGTTATGATTTTAGTTCTTCTGCATTTGCTGAGAAGTAATTTACTTCCAATTGTGTGATCAATTTTAGAGTAGATGCCATGTGGCACCAAGAGTAATGTATATTCTGTTGCTTTGTCATGGAGAGTTTCGTAGATTATCTATCAGGTCCACTTGATCCTGAGCTGAGTTCAGGTCATGAATATCTTTGTTAATTTTCTGTCTTGATGATCTGTCTAATATTGACAGTGGGGTGTTAAATTCTCCCACTATTATTGTGTGGGTATCTAAGTCTCTTTGTAGGTCTCTAAGAACTTGTTTTATGAATCTCAGTGTTCCTATATTGGGTGCATACATGTTTAAGATAGTTCTCTCTCCTTGTTGAATTCACCCCTTTATCATTATGCAATACCATTCTTTTTCTTTTTTGATTTTTGTTGGTTTAAAGTCTGTTTTGTCATAAACTAGGATTGCAACCCCTGCTTTTTCCATTTTCCATTTGCTTTGTAAATATTCCTCCATCCCTTTATTTTGAGTCTATGTGTGTCTTTGCATGTGAGATGGGTCTCTTGTATACAGCACACCAATTGACCTTGACTATCCAGCTTGTCATTCTATGTCTTTTAATTGGGACATTTAGCCCATTTACACTTAAGGCTAATTTTGTTATGTGTGAATTTGATCCAGTTATCATGATGCTAGCTGGTTATTTTGAAGACTTGCTTATGTAGTTGCTTCATAGTGTCATTGGTCTGTGTACTTCGGTGTGTTTCTGTAGTGGCTGATAATGGTTTTTCCTTTCCATATTTAGTGCTTCCTTCAGGAGCTCTTGCAAGGCAGGACTGGTGGTGATGAATTCCCTTACCTTTTGCTTGTCTGAAAAAGATTTTATTTCTCCTTCATTTATGAAGCTTAGTTTGGGTAGATATGAAATTCAAGGTTGGAAATTATTTTCTTTAAGAATGTTGAATTTTGGCCCCCAGTCTCTTCTGGTTTGTAGGGTTTCTGCTGAGAGGTCTGCTGTTTGTCTAATGGGCTTCCCTATATAGGTGACCTGCAGAATCTGATGATTATGTGTCTTGGGGTTGATCTTCTCATAGAGTATCTTACTGGGGTCCTCTGGATTTCCTGAATTTGAATGTTGGCCTGTCTTGCTAGGTTGAAGAAGTTCTCCTGGATGATGTCCTGAAGTGTGTTTTCCAACTTGGTTCCATGCTTCCTGTCTCTTTCAGGTACCCCCAATCAGTCATAGGTTCTTTTTACTGTTTTGCATAATCCCATAGTTCTCAGAGGTTTTGTTCATTCCTTTTCATTCTTTTTTGTCTAATCTTGTCTGCCTGTCTTATTTCAGCAAGATAGTCTTCAAGCTCTGATATCCTTTCTTCCGTTTCGTCTATTCAGTTATTGATACTTGTGTTTGCATCGTGAAGTTCCCATGTTGTGGGAACTTTTTCAGCTCCATCGGGTCATTTATGTTCCTCTCTAAACTAGTTATTCTCTTTAACAGCTCCTGTGTTTTATCATGGTTCTTAGCTTCTTTGCAATGGGTATGAACATACACCTTTAGCTCAGTGAATTTCATTATTACGCATCTTCTGAAGTCTACTTCTGTCAATTCATCCATCTCAGCCTCAGCCCAGGTCTTTTTTTTAACATTGGGTAAATGTAGCTAGTATCTTCAGTTTTTTTATACTTTAAGTTCTGGGTTACATGTGCAGAATGTGCAGTTTTATCACATAGGTATACATATGTCATGGTGGTTTGCTGCACCCATCAACCCATCATCTACATTAGGTATTTCTCCCTAATATTATCCCTCACCAAGTTCCCCTCTCCAACATGCCCTGTTGTGTGATGTTCCCCTCCCTGTATCCATGTGTTCTCATTGTTCAACTCCCACTTATGAGTGAGAACATGTGGTCTTTGGTTTTCTGATCTTGTGATAGTTTGCTGAGAATGATGGTTTCCAGTTTCATCCATGTCCCTGCAAAGGACATGAACTCATTCTTTTTTATGGGTCTCAGCCGAGTTCTATGCCCTTGTTGGAGATGTGTTAAAATCATCTGGAGGAGAAGAGGCACACTGGTTTTTTGAGTTTTCAGCATTTTTGTGCTGATTCTTTCTCATCTTCATGTATTTATCTACCTTTGATCTTTGAGGCTACTGACCTTTGGGTGGGTTTTTGTGGGGTCTTTTTCATTGATGTCGTTGCTTTCTGTTTTTTCTTTTAGCAGTCAGACCCTTTCTTCCATAGGGCTGCTGCAGTGTGTAGGGGTTCCACTCCAGACCCTATTCACCTGGGTTCCTCCCACACCTGAAAGTATCACCAGTGGAGGCTACAGAACAGCAAAGATGACAGCCTGCTCCTTCTTCTAAAAGCTTCATTCCAGAGGGGTACCGGCCTGATGCCAGCGAGAGCTCTCCTGTATGATGTGTCTGTCAACCCCTGTTGGACAGTCTCCCCCAGTCAGGAGACACAGGGGTCAGGGATCGACTTGAGGAGGCAATGTGTCCTTTAGCAGAGTTGGTGTGCTGTGCTAGGAGAATCCCTTTTGTCAGGATCAGCTGCTGTCTTCAGAGCCGGCAGGCAGGAATGATTAAATCCACTGAAGATGCGCCCACAGCCGCCCCATCTGCCAGGTGCTCTGTCCCAGGGAGATGGAGGTTTTGTCTGCAAGCCCCTGACTGGGGTTGTTACCTTTCCTTCAGAGATGCCCTGCCCAGTGAGGAGGAATCTAGAGAAGCAGTCTGGCCACAGCCACATTGCCACACCCAGTCCAGACCTCCAGCCTCCTTAGCACTATCAGGGGAAAACGGCCTATTAAAGCCTCAGTAATGGTGGATGCTGCTCCCCCACCCAGCTCCATCATCCCAGGTCAACTTCAGACTGTTGTGTTGGCAGCAAGAATTTCAAGCCAGTGGTTCTTAGCTTGCTGGGCTCTGTGGGAGTGAGACCTGCTGAGCGAGACCACTTGGATCCCTGGCTTCAGCCCCCTTTCCAGGGGAGTAAACAGTGGGTTCCAGGCACCACTGGGGCATGAAAAACACTCCTGCACCTAGCTTGGTGTCTGCCCAAACAGCAGCTCAGTTTTGTGCTTGAAATCCAGGGCCCTGGTGGTGTAGACACATGAGGAAACCTCCTAATCTCAGATGGAAATGCAGAAATCACCCACCTTCTGCATCGGTCTCACTGGGAGCTGCAGACTGGAGCTGTTCCTATTCAGCCATCTTGGCTCCTCCCCCTATTCATTCTTAATGGGAGTCAGTGAAGGATACTGGTTTAAAGCATGGGACCGAAAACCCCAGTCCTCATTGAAGCCCAGCATCATCATCACTTATCACGTGTTTCACCTTGAGCAACCAAAACATCACTAAGCCCCACTTTCTACACCTGTAAAATGGTAACGATAATGACTGAAATAAACTAATGGGGTGCTAGGGAAATTAACTGAGATACATGCAAGTAAATTGCTTAGCATACTATCCATCGCATAGTCACTTATTTGACAAATGTCAGCCTGGGTTATTATTTGCCAAACACCTTCTCTGCATAGGGCATCGTGCCTGGTGAATGGAGAAGTTTCACAATGACTGCAGCTCACTAACAATCAAATGAGAGGCTGAAATTTCTGGGTGGTTTTAAGGGCTTCACAAAGAAAATTTTAGGCATGCGGAATTTTGCCTTAAACATCGACTATAGAAAAGGTGCACTCTGATAGACCTTTTCCAATATAACCAATGTGTTAGAATCCAGGCCTCTGCTCCAAGTCTCATACCACTTACATTTAAACTGGTCACTTTCAAGCCTGCCAAACTTGCCCATTCCACAGAATGGCTATGAAGGCCTAGAAGATAAGGATTAGGAGAGTCTTTTGTAAGCAAGAAAAAGAAAAAAAGCACTCTGAAAGTGTAATTTGGCATTGTTATTATTATTACTACTACTATCATAGGTCAGGGGAAAGTTTTGTTATTATATAGGTTGTGTTAATTTGTTTGTTTGAGTTGGGTTTCGTGTTAGGTTTTTTTCTGCCTAGTTTTTGGCCAAAGCCCCTTTCCTATTTCTGTTTCCCCATTTCTCTCTTTTATCTCCCTTTTCCAGATGTCCTAAATCTTGATTATATCATGGCCCCTCAATGGCCTGCAAATTCCATTCCTACCAACCACACTCACACTGTAATGTATGGATTTTTCCTCTTCCTTCATTCTAATCAAAATTTGGACCTATTAATTTTTACCACTGACTTTTATCCCCAGTTTTAAAATCAATGGCATACCCCCAATTACCTTGTTGCAAGGTACAGTCTGAGTTCCCAACTTCACTAGTGGCTGATAGTCTTCTTCTGTAATGTTGCAAGGATATTTTGAAATAAATGCACCCTTGAATGCATCCCATACACTTTGGCAGTCTACATGTCTGTGAGATAAAACACAGAAAATAAAACATAAATTATTCTATTTAAAAATATTTTTGGAGCATAATTATTTTTTAGAATCTCATTTAGGAAGCATCTATCATATGCCAGGTAGTCCATACATATAATCTCATCTCACATGTGGTCTACCAGGGGTACAAAGAGAAGCTGATACCATTCCTTCTGACACTATTCTAAATAATAGAAAAACAGGGACTCCTCCATAAGTCATTTTATGAGGCGAGTATCATCCTGATACTGAAACCTGGCAGAGACACAACAAAAAAAGAAAATTTCAGTCCAATATCCCTGATAAACATCGATGCAAAAATCCTCACTAAAATACTGACAAACTGAATCCAGCAGCACATCAAAAAGCTTATCTACCATGATCAAGTAGGCTTCATCTCTGGGATGCAAGTCTGGTTCAACATACACAAATCAATAAACATCATCACATAAACAGAACCAATGACAAAAACCACATGATTATCTCAATAGATGCAGAAAAGTCCTTCAATAAAATTCAACATCCCTTCAGGCTAAAAACTCTCCATAAACTAGGTATCGATGGAACATATCTCAAAATAATAAGACCTATTTCTGACAAACCTATAGCCCACATCATACTAAATGGGCAAAAACTGGAAGTATTCCCACGGAAAAGTGGCATAAGACAAGGATGCCCTCTCTCACCACTCCTATTCAACATAATATTGAAGTTCTGGCCAGAGCAATCAGACAAAAGAAATAAATAAAGGGTACTCATATAGGAAGAGAGAAAGTCAAATTGTCTCTGTGTGCAGACAACATGATTGTATATTTAGGAAACCCCATCATCTCAGTACAAAACCTCCTTAAGCTGAGAAGCAACTTCAGCAAAGTCTCAGGATATAAAATCAGTGTGCAAAAATCACAAGCATTCCATACACCAATAATAGACAAGCAGAGAGCCAAATTATGAGTGAACACCCATTCAGAATTGCTACAAAGAGAATAAAATACCTAGGAATACAACTTATAAGAGACATAAAGGACCTCTTCAAGGAGAACTACAAACCTCTTAAGGAAATAAGAAAGGAAACAAGCAAATAGAAAAAAAATCCATGCTCATGGATAGGAAGAATAAATATCGTAAAAATGGCCATACTGCCCAAAGTAATTTATAGATTCAATGCCATTCCCATCAAACTACCATTGACTTTCTTCATAGAATTAGAAAAAAACTACTTTAAATTTCCTATGGAACCAAAAATGAGTCCATATAGCCAAGACAATCCTAAGCAAAAAGAACAAAGCCGGAGGCATCACATTACCGGACTACAAAGTGTACTACAAGACTACGGTAATCAAAACAGCATGGTACCAGTACCAAAACAGATATATAGACCAATGGAACAGAATGGAGGCCTTGGCCAGGCACAGTGGCTCATGCCTGTAATCCCAGCACTTTGGGAGGCCAAGGCGGGCAGATCACAGGTAAGGAGTTCAAGACCAGCCTGACCAACATGGTGAAACCCCATCTCTACTAAAAATACAAAAATTAGCCAGGCGTGGTGGTGCGCGCTTGTAATCCCAGCTACTCAGGAAGCTGAGGCAGGAGAATCGCTTGAACCAGGGAGGCAGAGGCTGCAGTGAGCCGAGATCGTGCCACTGCACTCCAGCCTGGGTGACACAGCAAGATCTCGTCTCAAAGAAAAAAAAAAAAAAAACAGAACGGAGACCTCAGAAATAATACCATACATCTATAACCATCTGATGGTTGACAAAAACAAGCAATGGGGAAAGGATTCCCTATTTAATGACAAAACAAGCAATGGGGAAAGGATTCCTTATTTAATGGTGCCAGGAAAACTGGCTGGCCATAAACAGAAAGCAAAAACTGGACCCTTTCCTTACACCTTATACAAAAATTAACTCAAGATAGTTTAAAGACTTAAATGTAAAACCTAAAACTATAAAAACCCTAGAAGAAAACCTAGGCAATACCATTCAGGACATAGGCATGGGCAAAGACTTCATGACTAAAACACCAAAAGCAATTGCAACAAAAGCCAAAATTGACAAATGGGATCTAATTAAACTAAAGAGCTTCTACACACCAAAAGAAACTATCATCAGAGTGAACAAGCAACCGACAGAATGGGAGAAAAATTTTGCAATCTATTCATCTGACAAAGGTTTAATATTCAGAATCTACAAGGAACTTAAACAAATTTACAAGAAAAAAACAACCCCAACAAAAAGTGGGCGAAGGTTGTTAACAGATGCTTCTCAAAAGAAGACATTTATGCAGTCAACAAACATACCAAAAAAACCTTATCATCACTGGTCATTAGAGAAATGCAAATCAAAACCACAATGGATACCATCTCATGCCAGTTAGAATGACGATCATTAAAAAGTCAGGAAACAACCGACGCTGATGAGGCTGTGGAGAAATAGGAATGCTTTTACACTCTTGGTGGGAGTGTGAATTAGTTCAACCACTGTGGAAGACAGTGTGGCGATTCCTCGAGGATCTAGAACCAGAAATACCATTTGACCCAGCAATCCCATTACTGGGTGTATACCCAAAGGAGTATAAATCATTCTACTATAAAGACACATCCACACGTATGTTTATTGGAGCACTATTTACAAGACTTAGAGCCAACCCAAATGCCCAAAAATGATAGACTGAATAAAGAAAATGTGGCACATATACACCATGGAATACATAAAAAAGAATGAGTTTATGTCCTTTGCAGAGACATGGATGAAGCTGGAAGCCATCATTCTCAGCTAAAAAACACAGGAACAGAAAACCAAACACTGCATGTTCTCACTCATAAGTTGGAGTTGAACAGTGAGAACACATGGACACAGGGAGGGGAACAACACACATTGGGGCCTATTCGGGGGTTGGGGGCAATGGGAGGGAGAGCATTAGGACAAATACCTAATGCATGTGGGGCTTAAAATCTAGATGATGGGTTGATAGGTGCAGCAAATCACCATGGCACATGTATACCTATGTAACAACCTTTCACATTCTGCACATGTATCCCACAACTTAAAGTAAACTTCAAAAAAAGATAACACGTAAAAATAAATCAATTTAATATGTTATATTTTGCAGAATAAATGACAAAAACCATATGATCATCTCAAAAGACACACACAAAAATATTAGACAAAATCCAACACTCTTCTAATGAAAAAAAAAGTGAGAAAATTACAAATAAAATGAAATTTCCTCAACCTGACAAAATTCATCTATTAAACCCCACAGCTAACATTATACATAATGGTAAAAGACTGGATGCTCCCCCTTAAGATCAAGTATAGTCCAAAGATGTCTGATTTCATTACTAATATTCAACATTGTATTGGAGTTCTAGCCAAGGAATTTAGGTGAGAAAAGAAACTAAACTCATCTATATTAGAAAGGAAGAAGTAAACTTATCCCCTGAATGGATGACATGATACTGTATATAGAAAATTCGAAGAAATCCACCAAAAGGAAACTGTTAGAACGAATGAACATGTTCAGCAAGGTTTCAGGTTACAAAATCAGTATACAAAAATCAATTGCATTTCTATATACTATCAATGAAAAATATAAAATTGAAATTTAAAAAATTCCATTCATAATAGCAGCAAAACAACTAATATTCTTAGGAGTAAATACAACAAAGAATTACAGGACGGGAATGCTGAAAAATCCAGAACACTGTTAAAAAGTAAAGAAGACCTAAAAGAATGGAAAAACATTCTACATTCATGGATCAGAAGACTTAAGCCTTAGTATTTTTTTTGTTTGTTTTTTGGTTTTTGTTTTTGAGACAGAATCTCACCCGGTTGCTCAGGCTGGAGTGCAACAGCGCAATCTTGGCTCACTGCAACCTCCACCTCCCGGGTTCAAACGATTCTCCTGCCTCAGCCTCCTGAGTAGCTGGGAATACGGGCACGCACCACCATGCCCAGTTTTTTATTACTATTATTTTTTTTTTAAGTAGAAACGGGGTTTTACCATGTTAGCCAGGCTGGTCTCGAACTCCCGACCTCGTGATCCACCCACCTCGGCCTCCCAAAGTGCTGGGATTACAGGCGTGAGCCACCATGCCCGGCCAGAAGACTTAATATTGTTAAGATGCCAGTATTCTCCAAGCTGATTTACAGCTTTGATGCAATAGGTATAAAAATCCCAGTTCCCTCTTTTGCAGATAGTGACAGTTTATCCTAAAATTCATATGGAAATGTAAGGAACACAGAAGAGCCAAAAATCCTGAAAAAGAAGACCAAAGTTGAAGAGACACATACTTCCTGATTTCAAAACTTACTACAATGCTACAGTAATCAAGACAATTGGTACTGGCATAATGACGTAATCACAGGACCAGTTCTAACTGGCCCTACTCTGTTGATAATAGTATGTCAAGTTATTTTACATGCACAAAGCCAAAAAGTTGTAAGTCATGCAGCTGAAGAATGCAGAAAAGAAGACGTCAACCTTGAATAACACCCAGAAGAAAAATTCCTCTCCTGCCCCACCACAGAAGCAAATGGTCAAGACATGACTGGAACCTGAGGGCCCAAACATTTTTAAAAGCAAGAAACCTGAGCCCAATGGCATGTCCAGTGTTAAGACCCCTTACCAAACCTTACCATAAATGGTCTTGTTTAAAGTCCTTCCAATCGAAACCTGCCCCACCAGTGCTTCTGCATACTAGCTTACCGTCCCTAACCCGTAAAACTTGTCCCAGATCCCAGATAGGGAGACAGATTTGAACTTTGCCTCCTAATTCCTTGCAAGTCAACCTCACGATAAAGGTTTTGCTTTTCTCAAAAACCAGTTCCATAATATTGGCTTCTCTATCTGTCAGGCAGCAAGCACATTGTTCAGTAACAATGACAGAAATATAGATCAATGGAATAAAGAGTCCAGAAATAAAGTCTTAGAGTTATCATCAATTAATTTTAGACAAGAGTGCCAAGGCCATTCAATGGGGGAAAAAAA